TATTCTCACCTACCTGTCCCTGAGTACCAGCAGAGTAATTTTCCTAAGACTTATGTGCCAAGGAGAAGGAAGAGATTTCAAGGAACAGCAGCACCAAATCAACCCAGAACTATCTCACTGCCCCTTCCCCTCCTGAGGGTGAGCTTCCTTTCCCGTTGCCCACACCAGCCACCTTTGAAGAAATCTGCCACAATCCTTGCTCAATATCCCCTCTCGCCCACAGCCTTTTGAGGGGAACAGAGAGCGAGTGAAAACATCCCCATTCAGATTGAGTCAAGATTACTGGTAGAGAACAAGGAGGAAGTCCTATGTTGTCTGAAAAGCATCAATTAGAGGGGAGGAAAGACATAAGGAGGTAGAACTTAGCAGGCCCCACAGAGAAAGACCCACAAGCCATGTTAAGTGGGCAGGAAGGGACTTGAGAACTTCGTTCAAAGATGGGAATCAACTTTTGCTACTGCTAGCCATGCCTTTTTTGGGGTTCAAGTTTTTTTTTTTCTGTTTCTTGGCACGGGAGGACATGACTTCCTCTGCACCTCACCTTCCATGTGGCCTCTCGTTCATTTCTGAGAAAAGCTGAACGGGCAGGTGAGAAACGGACAAATGAGGATGGAAAGGCCCCGGTCCACTACAGAGAAGGGGACCTGGATTCAGGATTTGAGGAAGTCGTACTGTTCGGGGAGAGAGGGCAGGCCTCCCCATTGACAAGTCCTTCCCCAGAGGGTCTTCTTAATGTGGAGTCTGGCAAGCAGGGGCCCAAAGAGGAGTCTGTATCTGGGAGTTCAGTACCTTGGGTGGCTGAACCCCATGACGGCCGGGGAGCATCCTCTTGTGCTAAAGACGTTGTGTCTGTTGGGGAAACCCCTGAGGTGGAAGTGACCTCAATGGTGATGGATCCCACTGGCACCTCTGTGCGGTCACCAACCAGAATCCGGGTCATCATGCTCGAAGCAACAGCCACATCTGGCAAGGTCGCACTGGCGGTCGCTTCTGGGGGAACGCCAGGGTCCAGGAAAGAGCCACTCAAGTTAGACAGAAAAGATGCTTCCGTAATGACGGCCGCTGTTTCCGCCACCCAGTTCAAGTCACTGCCCAGAGAAGGCGCCGTGGCGGCTGCGGGGCCTTCTCCAGAAGCCAGGGGTCCAGCCACTTCCCCAGCAGGGCCGGTGTCCATATGAGGATGACGGCCAACCAGGTCAGTGGGGGCAACGGTCGTGTTATTATTGAGGTTGTCCTGAAGGGTAGTCTGAGTGCCCACCTGCTGGTTCTGCAGCAGCATCTCTTGAATCCGGATCTGCTGGAGGATAGCTGGCAGCTCATAGTGGTGGAAGAAGTAGATCATGGAATGCTGCCGGGGAGACAAGAGCAGAGAGAAGGGGATTAGGATACACACTCACAAGGGAGAATCCCCTGCCAGGATAAGTTACAAACAAAGAGAAGTAGAGAAGGTCAGTGTGTATCTTGGACCACAGCTCTCAAAATACATCAGTTAGGTATTGTGGACAGCCTTCTGCAATCCAGCACTCTCTCCACATTTATGAGGCTAGCTAGAGCATTCACTACAGTCTGGTCTGACCCCAAGGAAGATGGGACAGCTATTCCAAACATGCTGGGAGGGCATTAGGATGGGTAAAGTGGAACCTGGCAAGCCTTCCTGCACAACTAGAAGAGAAATGAGTTTTTTTAAAAATGGCGATGTACCTGTATAAACAGCCAGGAGGTGACCAGCGCAAGGCTGCTGTACTGCCCGTTGAAGCGGTAATGGTAAGCATAAAAGGCAAAATGGTACAGATAGAAAAACCTGCAGGGAAGTAGATGATGGCATATGAGAAAACACAGACACACAGGGACTACAAAAGAGCTATATATGTATACAAAATGCAGCATCTTCCCTCCCAGTTTCAATATGTGTGACCATTTTTCTTCACCACCACCCATTACAATGAACTTAGAAAAACAAGTTAAGAACAATTAAAAAGCTATATTTTTCAAAGAAGCACCTTCCCTGCTTATGAATCCCTTCTGTCAAAACAATCCAGCTGAATAGCCATTTTAATGTAATCAAATGCATAATGTAATTTGATTTAGGGGGGTTGCAGACTGCCAGAAATAGTGCAAATTGAGTCCACTTTTAGGGTTAGGATTAGGGTTAAGGAATCCTGGGAACTGTAGTTTATTGTGGCACCAGAGCTCTCTGACAGAGAAGGCTCAATGTCTCAGGAAAAAAAACAAAAAACAATTCCCATGATTTCCTAGCAGTAACCCTACCCTAAAAGTGGACTCAATGTGCACTATTTCTGGCAGTCTGCAACCCCCCTTAGTTAGTTTAAAGTTCTGCCTGAATAACATGATCTTGGCCAGCCAGCAAAAGAAAACAGGGAAGGGGTCAGCCCAAATTCCCTTGGTATCCCTGCCTTTCCTAGGCCAGCATTCTTCAGCTGGCTTGGACTACAATACTCATCATGTCCTAGCTGGCTCCAAGGAGACCCAGGCTGGGAACGACTGAAACAAAAAGTTCTGGGCTAAATTGGTCCCATGTTCATACCTCAGCCAGTGTCTCTTGCTGGTGTTGGTATGGCAGCAGATGGCATCATATTGGTCAGCCAGCCACACAATGAGGATGATGTAGAAGGCTGTGGTGGTGTCATTGAAGAACTCTGACATGATCGCTTCCATGCCTGCCAGGAAAGGAGAAGGAAGAAATATAATTAGTGGGTTCTTTGGTGCTTGGTATCCCAATTTGAGGTTTTCCCAGCTGGTTCCCATGGAAGCAAAGAAGGGTAGCGACTAAAAAAAATTGCAGTTTGGTGAGGTGCTACCATTCTCTTGTAAAGAATTCTAAGTGTGTGTATGTGCTTTCAAGTCACCTGTCCCACTTCCAAAACTATTGACTACTTGAAAGCTTGTTCCAAACAGCATCCAAAGAGGACGCTTTCTTTTTCCAGCCTCCACTTTTCTTATGATTTCCACTTCAGTGGCCAAACTTACAGATTTATGCTTCTTAAAAATATGCTTAGGGTAGCTAGTGAGAAAGCCTTAGCTTATTTTCCCCTTTGCCTGTTTTGCTGTTCATGACACATGCTCAGCCAGGGCATTCAAGGTTGCCTTCTTACCTACTAGGGCCAAGATGACCGTCAGCAAGGGGGCTGCTGGGAAGGCAATGGTCATGTTCATCTCCAGCATCTGCAGCAGGTCCACTGTGGAGGAATGAGAGATCAGAAATGTCTTGCTGGATCCAACCGCAGGCCTATCAAGCCTCACCTGTTGTTCCACAGGGAAGCCCACAAGCTAGGCATGAGTGTAACAGCCCACTGGTTTTCCAAATGGTGCTTTACTACACTTCCCATGAACACTAGCCTTGAAGGTCATGATGCCAAAGACTCCAAAACCTATCTGCCTGGTGGCAGAGGCCCAATATGCTACAGGCACAGTGTGCAAAACCGCTAGGGAGACCGCTGGAAGACTTACCAATAAAAACGAAGATTTGGTGATGTGAGTACCGCAACAGCATGGAGACAGAGAGGGTCTGAAAAAAGAAGGTGAGTTAAGTCACTGTTTAAGGGACTACAAAGGAGCAAAACAACAGCTAGAAAATCTGGAGGACAGAGGACACTCACATTACACAGAGAGCTACTCTCTGCCAGGGAAGCTAATTTCTATCCAAATAATTTTCATTTGCCATGAGTATAAAATACTGTCTCAGGCCCTGTCCGTATAAGCCAAATAAAATGTCCTTCCCCAGTCCTCTCAGTGAGAAGTCCAGATGACACCTGGCCCAAACCCTGGTTCTGGTGAGAACAGTCAAGATGATGTCCAGCCCATGCAGCACCAGTACCAGGGATTATCCTCGTAAAGGATTTTTATATTCTCAGAATATCCAGAGCCCGCATGGCTATTTGTATGCATGGCCACCACTGGCAAGAATAACTCACACAGCCTCATTCTGACCTCACAAGCGACTCTCACCAGTAGTGGCTGCACCAGGTGGAACAGTGGGACATGCGTGTGAACAGTGCCTGGCATTAGAACGGAGAGAGGAGGTAACAGGTGGAGGTTGGGGAAGCTCTGGGCCCAGAATATTCCAGGCTGCCCCTGGAATTTTCTGGCCAGTGCAGACAGCACTTCATGAGGCAAGACTGCCCAAAGTCAAGCCATAAAATGTCATAATTGAACCCAGACACTCACAAAAATCACCATGATGACGAAGGCTGCCAAGTACGAAGTCCGGGCCATCCACATACTGATGAAACGGTAGTGTTCCCCGGACACTACGTTGCGAAGGAACCCTGGGTGTCAGCAGGAAGGAAAGGAAAAGCAATGTGAGGGCAAAATGTCGTGATTTGTTTGAGCATGCTGGGAGTTGCAGTCCAGCAATATTTGGGAAGGTTGCAGCACTGTCAAACCTCCCCCCCCCCAAACAGCTACCCTTTCAAGTGCAGATACACACATTTACGCCATTGTCAGGAAAAAACCCTGACAAGGTAAAAAGTGGCTCTCATGAGCAGTGGGAACACATCCCTGTCCAGTCTTTGTTTCTGGGTACCTTTATTCTCTTCATTTTCAGCCAAGGCTTTGACACTGGACATGAGGATGTCATCATAACCCAGGAACTCATCCAGCAGAAGACGGCTGAAGCGGTCTCCAAAGCACTGGTCTCGGGTGGGATCTGAGAGGGACAGCAAGGACAAAAATATTTAGGGAGGAAAGCTGAAAACCCAAAAGGGGATTTGAGAAGCCAAAAAAAAAAAAAAAAAAAAAAAAAAAAAAAAAAAAAAAAAAAAAAAAAAAAAAAAAAAAAAAAAAGCATGTTTGTACTATTACTTAAAACTTCTCTTTTATTTACTATTCGATGTTGTTGTGTGCCATCAAGTTGTTTCCGGCTTATGGCAACCCTAAGGTGAACCTATTTCTTGGCAAGATTTGTTCAGTGGAGGTTTGTACTTCTCTTCCTCTGAGGCGGAGAGTGTGTGCCTTGCCCAAGGCCACCCAGTGGGTTTCCACAGCTAAGCAGGGATTTGAACCCTGGTTTCCAGAGTCTTAGTCCAACACCCAAACCACTAACCATGCTGACCCTGAACAGCACTGGGGGGTTACCCAAACCTGATCTCTACCCTGTTTTGCCAGCTCAGGAGCAGCTGACAACTAAACCCTGCCATCATCTGACAAAGGAACAGAGCAGCAGAATAAAAATGAACCTCACCGAGCGTCACCACCATGACGGGAATGCTGAGGCGCTGGCGGGTGCTCTGGGATAGCCGCAAGAAGCCGTACTCAAAAGAATACTCCACAATGTACTCTTCCTGTGGCCAGACTGGGGAAAGGAAGGGAAGGAAACCAGCTTTAAAAGTCCAAGACAGTGGATACTGGCAGACACCCCAACCCCAAGAACCAAATTTCTTTTCAGCCCCATCCACCCCATTCAAGTTGAGTGCTTCAGCCAGTGAAGAAATCCCAAATGATTTGAGAGGAACCTGCATGGGAATAAGAACAAACATTACAAAAGTAAACCCTCCTTGCAAAAAAAGCACACTTGGGCTGCCTGGGATCAAATGCAACGATAAGCCAAGATTTTTACTGCAATTTGAGCTGTTTACCAATGGAAATAGTCCACTCTCTAGACTACTTCTACTCTCTCCACAGCGGCACAGTTTCTGGCCTTTTTGAATGCCAGCATGGTAAAATAGCAGCGTTCTTTGGCATTGCTTTTCTTTATTTCATCCTTTACATCCTTTGTTACATGCCCCTAAGTTTTACCCTGGACTTGTCTATGGGTTGTATCAAAATCCATCACTGTAGCCCCCAAAACTCCCCTTTACTTATACACAAGGTCGACTTATACACGAGGCTGACTCACTTATGAGTATCTAAGACAACTCGATATTTTTTTTAAAAATACAAAGGGGGTAACACAATTCATATATATTCATGAGTATGTAAGGCAACTCTATAAGTTTTAAACAATACAAAGGGGATGACAGAAAGTCACAGAAGAGGAAGAGAAGATACAACCTGTCCCTGATTCCTTGACCTACTGAAGATTGTAAATCTCCTCTTTTCCCATATCTTCCCACTAAGGTTACACTCCTGTACCCCCATACGGAGACTGGGGCAATCACAAGCAATGTGGGGACTCCTTTGGGGTGAAACCCACTCCTTCCCGACCGTACCCTCCCTTTATTGCACCCTACTCTTGGGAAGCTGGTTGAGATTTCATCAGGAGGAAATCAAGAGATGGGATGGTGGGGAGAAAAGAGTTCTAAAGGAGGAAAAGAAAAAAAAAGAAAGATGTGAAGAAAAGGATAAATAAAGGAAAGATGTGAAGCACTGAGCAGGGAGGGGGACTGACAGTTAGCAGCGTGGTTATCTTTACCTGCTTTGGCTAGCATCTCAAACTCGGACACAGTCTCGCTGAGGGGCTCCATACCTTTAGAGGCTGGCTCATCGCTGAAGGAATATTCCTGGCTTTCGTTGGGGGCCAGCACTTTGGCCCCGTTCAGTCGCGACGGTTTGAGGAACACCTTGGGTTCAATGTCTAGCTCAAACTAGCGACACAGGGAAGAAAGAAGAGGGAGAAACACCCATATTAAAAGAGGCTTATTTCCAAACCAGTTCAACACAACTGTGTCAGCTCTTCAATGGTTTGGGGGCTCAATTCATCATTGATGGTGTGTGCCCTCAAGTCATTTGTGACATGTGAGGAATGGTGGCACAGGTAAATAATAAACCAAATTGCTATCACTGTGTCCTCAAGTCATTTCCGAGTTATGGTGACTGCATCCCCACTGTAGAAATAACCCGGTTTGACACCACATTAACTCCATGCTACAGAATTCTGGGAGTTTGTTGTGGCACCAGTGTATAGGATCAGGAGAGGAAAAGGAAAGCTCTAGTGCCACAACAAACTACAACTGCCAGAATTTCACAGCATGGAGCCCGGGCAGTTAAAGTCGTGTCAAACTGGATTATTTCTGCAGTATGGATGCAGCATGTGAATTCAAACTATCATGGTGTTCTCTTGGCCAGATTTCTTCAGAGGAGGTTTGCCATTGGCTTCCTCTAAAGCTGAGAGAGCATGACTTACCCCAGGCCACTCAGTGAGTTTCCATGGCTAAGCAGGGATTCAAACCCTGGTCCTACTCCAGCATTCAAAACCACTACACCAAGTTGACTGTCAAGATTTATTCAAAGAGGGTTTGCCACTCCCTTCCTTTGATACTTGAGAGTTTGAATATGGACCAAGCCTTTTGAGAGGCTGTGCAAGTGTTCAGTTTGGAAGGAGAAGGTATAAAAGTACAGAAGAGGAGGAAGATAGAATGGAATTTATATTGAAGGCATTGCTAGCTGCAACATCATGTTGCATAACTGCCAATTCTTGAGCCTATTATCAAATATAATCACTATTAGGATTGCTTTAGCGCTATAATTAGTGAAGTAATATTAGCCAAGGTAGTATTCCACCGGTTTAATGCCCTCTCTAGGTTCTCCTCCATGGAAGGGATAAACAGGAGCCACACTGAGAGAATAAAATGAAATTAAGAAGCAAATTAAGTGGGTTAAATCAGTAAGTTGCCCCTGGGGGATTCCTCGCATCGAGGCGCATACTTTCATTCACACAACACCAGCTGCTAATTTGGTTTCACAGGCCCTTAAGCGGCTCCACACTCCTGCTTGCTTATGTGGGATGAGAATTTGGTGTGTGTGTGTAAAAAAATTAATGGCATATTAATTGAGGTAGGCTGCTGTAAATGGAAAGGTTTAAGCACAACAAGCCTGCAAAATGAACACAGTGAATGTGAGGCAGCTCACAAGTGCCACACAGGGTAAACACAACTATAGGTGACTCAAGCAACTGAGCCAAGTCATAAACTATAGAAAACAGTTTTGTTTTGTTTTTGCATGCACAAGACCTCAAGTTCTATCAGCAGGAAAGGCTTAGAAAGAGTCCCTCTTGCAACTGAAATCTTGCTGTCCCAAACATAGACAACAAAGTTAAGATAATACTGATCCTTGTCTGCTTCTGTACCTTCAACTCACCTGCCAACTGCTGGAGACTCAAGCTAGGGTTGGTGGAAACTTTAAAGCCCTACATAGTTTGTTGTTGTTGCTGTGTGCCTTCAAGTAGTTTCTGACTTATGGCAAATCTTAAGGCAATCCTATCATGGGGTTTTCTTGGCAAGATTTCTTCAGAGGAGGTTTGCCGTTGTCAACCTCTGAGGCTGAAAGAGTAGGACTTGCACAAGTGGGTTTTCATGGCCAAGACGGGATTTGAACCCCGGTCTTCAGAATCATGGTCCAAAAGGCGGAGTAGAAACAAACAAAATAATCATAATAGGAAGCCTTTGGTCTGAATCAGTATGGATGCTCTTATGCTCTCCTGCATTACTGATGTCCACCCAGGATGACCCCACCCTAGAAAGACCCCAGACAGAAGGAAACATAGAAAGCAATAAGAAACATCCTCCTGCCCATCCCAGTTACCTTGATGGAGCTGTTCTCAAACATCTCCACGGTCATTTCCTCTTCCTCTTCCTCCTCCTCTTCGATGCCTGGTTCAACCACCATACCAGGGAACCTGTCATCATCGCAAAACTGGAGGAAGATGGGGGCACGGCTGGAGTTGCGCTGTATCTCGACCCTCAGGATGCCGTCCCTGGGCCACTTGTCCCGGACGTGCTCCAGGCAGTTGATGGGAGAGCGGGAGAAGGCAATGTGGATGTAGGCCAAGATGAAGAGAACAAACAGAGCCTGAAGGACAAAGAGGAATCGGGTTAATGCATGGCAGAGGTGGTTCACAGCTATTCAGCCTGGCAGAAATTTGTTATTGCTAATCCCCATCATGTACAGAGACGGTGTGGTAGTTTGAACACTGGACTATGACTCTGGAAACCAGGATTCCAATCCTCGCTTGGCCATGGAAACCCACTGGGTGACCTTGCGCAAGCCCCACTTTCTCAGCCTTAGAGGAAAACAACAACAAGCCTCCTATAAAGCAATCTTTTCAAGAAATAGACACAGTGTGGTATAGTGGTTTAAATGCTGGACTCTGGAAACCAGGGTTCAAATCTCTGCTCCTCAGAGGAGAACAACAACCCCCCCCCTCGGAACATATCTTGCCAACAAAACCCCATGCTGGTTCAATTTATGGTCGCCATAAGTCGGAAACAACTTGAAGGCACACAACAACTTTGATGAATGGCCACCCTATGAACAAATCTTGCCAAGAAAGCTCTGTGATAGGTTTGTTTCAAGGTGGCCATTAGTCAGAAATGTGCCTAAGGCACACAAGAACAATAATACAATAGCAAGTGTTCTTCCACTTGCCAAGAGTGGAATCTAGAACAAGATTGGAGCACCGTCTACTCTCAATACAGTCCAAAACCTTCTGGAGCATGGTTTGGCACTGGAGAAACCCAAACAGGGAGAGGCCAAAAGTTCTAACATTTTTGTGAGTGTCACATGTGTTTTTTTATGGTTGAAGCCGAGGATGCAGAGTATCTGGATATAGAGGGCTGAGTCTATGTTGTTAGCCACTTTGAGGAGAGAAAGGCAGGATACAAATAAATAAAATAATAATAAATATACCAGTGTGCTGTAGTGGTTTGAGTGTTGGACTACGAGCCTATACAGACTGCCAAAAATAATCCAGCTTGAGGCAACTTTAACTGTCCTGGCTCTGTGATAGGGAATCATGGGAACTGTAGTTTTTTCTGCGACACTGAGCCTTCTCTGTCAGAGAGTTCTGATGCCACAATAAACTACAGTTCCCATGATTCCTTAGCACTGAGCCAGGACAGTTAAAGTGGTCTCACGATGGATTATTTCTGGCAGTTTGTATAGTCCCTATGACTGTGGAGACCAGGGTTTGAATCTCAACATGGCCATGAAACCCACTGGGTGACCTTAGGCAAGGTACACTCTCTTAGACTCAGAGGATGATAATGGCAAACTCTCTCTGAAGAAATTTTCCAAGAAAACCCTATGATAGGGCCGCAATGACTCAAGAATGACTTGGAGGTATACAATAACATACAGTGGGTCCTTGTTATCCACTGATGTTTGGTTCCAGGACCTCT